ACAACCTTCACAATGAGCATCATTGTGTATCCAATGTGACAGGCAGTGGCAGGAAAGGAGGCAGCCAAGGAGAGGATGCTGAGAGTATGCACCCTCTTTGAAGCAGGGGAACAGAGTTAAAGCCTGCTAACACACAATGGTCAGGCTGTCTTCTTACATCTCCCCACCTCTGACTTTTTTTTCCAGTGAGATCGCTTCTTAAATGTACACAGGTGCATAATTACAAGGGATTGCTTGGAGGAGCCTAGCAGTGTTGCCATAGAAAAGTAAAAGTGTTCCAGAATGAAGAAGTATCGTAGCCAAGAGCAATACATTGAAATTCATCAAGAAACCTTGCTACTTTGGGGTGTATTTGTTTTAAATGCCACTATTTGAAATGCGTTACCAACTACCAGCAACTTGGCGTGAAGCTTGAAGAATATAGAGGCATCTGTAACGCTGTAGAAATGTTGCAAAAAGAGGGAAAGTGGACATTTTACGGGGGAATTCTCAAATATTCACAGTGCTCAGAATTTTAATGGAGCTGTTGATAACCTTGTTATCTAGTAGAGTTCTAGCTAAAAAATGCATTAAACTTATTGGCTGTAGTCAAATGAGTGGCAGCCAGAGATGGCATACATAGTGTACTTGATAAAAATGCTGTTTGTTTAAAGTATTAGAGTGGTCATTATGTTCAAGTACAAAGTTTTGATCCTCTCAGTAAATTTAATCTAGAAAGAATAAAGTGTTTCAGACTGTTTTTAAGTTTCAGTAGAACACAGGGTACTCTGTGAGTTTTTCCTTAAGAGAGTGTTAAATGTAAAAGCTGGTTTTGATATATTCACACATAAACAGAAATACGTTTTCAGGTTGCTTCCTTGATTCTTTCCCGTTATTGCCTACTTGTGGCTAAGGATATGGTGACTTTATAAACTCAAGCTTTCAGCTGTTTCAGAAATTTATATTGAACATATATATTCAGTTGAGTGTATGTGTGTGTATGTTAATCCTATTCAGAGAATTTGAAAATGGAAAAGAATTCAAGTCACTGGATTATCACTGTTTTAACCTCTCCAAGACACTTTTCCCTAATCTGGAAATGGGGCTCCTGATTCCCTAACTTTCAGAATGGTTTTAGGGGTAGAGTAAATATTGTACTAAAGTATGTAGGAAAAATAAGTTTCTCTTCTGTGATCAAAACAATTACATTTTGTTGCCTTTCCCTTTCCTCATGAAGTTGAAATGATACAATCCAATATAGGTAAAGCCCAAAATTTATAGGAAGCATAGACTCTCTTAGCTAGAAGGAATCTTAGAGCATATATGGTTCAGTGATTCTTACCATTTGTTTGGCTCATAGACTACTTTGAGAATCTGAAAGTTGTGATCTTTCACTCCCCCAAAAATGCCTCTATACACAAAAATTAGCATATAATTTTAAGGGGTTCAAGGACTCCCTAAAACCTATTCCTAACCCCTAGGGTTAAGAATCCTCAACTTAATTCAACACCCTCATTCTAAAGATGGAGGGACTTCCCTGGTGGCGCAGTGGTTAACAATCCGCCTGCCAATGCAGGGGACATGGGTTCGATCCCTGGTCTGGGAAGATCCCACATACCACAGAGCAACTAAGTTCGTGCTCCACAACTACTGAGCCTGCACTCTAGAGCCCACGAGCCGCAACTACTAAGCCCATGAGCCACAACTACTGAAGCCCCTGTGCCTAGAGCCCGTGCTCCACAACAAGAGAAGCCACTGCAATGAAGAGTAGCTCCCACTCGCCACAACTAGAGAAAGCCCATGCGCAGCAACAAAGACCCAATGCAGCCAAAAAAAGCAAAAACAAAAAAAATCTAAAGATGGAAACATTAAAGAATATAAGTGATACGCTCTTGAGAATTAAAAATTATTTTGAAAACTCTTCCCCAAAAATCTCTAATAATTTAAGAACACAGCTTCATCAATTATTTGAGCAGTGTCCTTGGACTACAGCTGCATTTCATTGGTGGACTTGCTGTCTTGTCCACCCTTGGTTTGTGAGTGACAGAAGAGCTATTTGCAGTCCCACACAAAGTGAAATGAAATAATTGGGGCATTGATTCTATTTTTAACATGCCCTTTCCCAAAAATTATACTACTGCATTCTCAGTAAACATTCATTAAGTACCTGTCATGGTCCAAAGCCTATTCAAGGTAGTGAGAGCGCAAGATCATGAGACCCAGTTTCTGACTGATCTGGGCCTAGTCTAGTAACAGCTCATGAGCTGGTAATAGGGGAACCCAGAGGGAGGAGCGACTCACCCAGCCCCAGAACTTTGAGAAGGTCCTACATTTAAGGTAGCATTAAAGCTGTGTCTTGAATGATGAGTAGGAGTTTTCCAGGCAAAGGATCCAGATATCCTAACTCCCTGTGCGTGCAGATTTTACAATGCACCACTTTCCTTGTAGTTTAGAATAATGTGCTTGCTTTAAATTTTATGTACATGGTAATTAGGTGGGGTGGCCCATCGAAGACCCATTTGGTGGTTTCGTCAGCCACGCATCTCCATTCTCTGAGCCATGCAGTCTCCAAACCTCAAGGTCATTGTCCTCTCTGACCCGCAATTTCTAGTCACTCACAAAGGCTTGCAAGTCCTTTCTTCAAAGCGTCCCTTCTACCTTTCTCTTCTTTTCTGTTCCCATTACCGTCTTCCCATAGTTCTCCATACGCTAGACCTGGTCCCCACCAGTCCTTCCTCGTACTACACAACCACAAATACGTTCTCCCAAAATTAATTTATTCTGAAGCCCGGCAAAGAAACATTTGCTCCAGGTTACCAGATAGGATATAGTTACTGAATCTATTTATTTTCTTACTTAAAGCCTCTGAGAAAAGCTGAGAGAACCCTGCTCCGGATGCGCAGGCTCAGCGACCATGGCTTACGGGCCCAGCCGCTCCGCGGCATGTGGGATCCTCCCAGACCAGGGCACAAACCCGTGTCCCCTGCATCGGCAGGCGGACTCTCAACCACTGCACCACCAGGGAAGCCACGATCCAACCTCAGGCTCCTCACCCATCATTTCCCAGAACTTTTTTACTCCAGCCAGGCAAGTGCAGGGTAGAGAAGCTAAGAGCCCACACCAAGTCAGGTCTCACCTTTACCACGTGTTAGCTGTGGCATTTCATCTCTCCAAGCTTGTTTCCTCATTTACGACTTACGTGAATAAATAACCAAATGGCTTAAAGCTGTTAGGAAAATTAGTGTGATGACACATGGGAAGTGCCTGGTGCCGGGTCTGACACGTAATTGGCTCTCAATAAATGGTGACATTTGTAGCCACCTTCATCATCACCTTCCTCTGAAACGCACCACATCTCTGACATGCAAGCATTTCTAGAAACCCTTGCTCCTCTTACCCAGGTCATTTGCTTCTCCTTTAGGACCTGTTTCAGGTTCTTATCTTCCCACTGATATCCCGCCCCCCCCCCAAATACACCTGCTCTCAGCAGTCTCTCCTAACATCCCCTGCCTCCCCTCTGTTTGCTTTACACTGTTTCCAAACTTTGAAGTTTCCTCACTGCAATAGCGAGAGCTGCCCCCAAGTGGAGCAGACTGTCGTGCAAAGTCACAAGCCTCCTTGACTTCACCCTCGTTTGAGGATGTTGAAGTGATCATGAAACAGACGGGAGGTTGGATAGTGGATGTCTAAGGGTCCCAGCAGCAGTGATTTTTGGAGTCTGAGTGGTTTAAGAGCAGGGACATGTCTTCTACTTCCTCCTACTTCCCACAGCTAAGATTATTGTAGGCACACTCAACTCTGTTGTGTTTGGCGGACTGTTGTCCTGAAGAATCATCCTACTCTTTGATCCCTGTGACAGATGAGCAGTGGCTTTAATCCTGCAGGGGAGTTTGGGAGGATGTGTATCAGGGTTGGAGGATGGGAAACCCCACGTGCATCACACTGTGACCCATAGTGAGCTTATAAAAAGTGTTTAATGAACAAGCACCAATCATAGGCTGTTTCACTGAATCGTATGTCCCTTGGAAACAAATTAAGAGCAAATGGAAGTCTTCCAAAGTTAAGGCTGAAGTTATAGGGAGATGTAGAGGGAATAGATCTCTTGCCCTGCCCCCGCCAAAAAAAACAAAAAAACTCCTTAGGTTCCACAGAAAAAGGTCTTTATCTAAACATTTTATTTCTCTTCCTTACAATCTCCATACAGGGGCAAAGAGAGAGTCCAGAAACGTTTATCTTTAGTATCCTTATTGGAAACTCTATTCCTCACATTTGTGAAACAGTTTCATTACACAGGGCACCTCTAATTTTTGCCAGTTCGTTTTATCTCTGAAATCAACTGCTTTGCCTTCTCTGTTGCTGAATTTCAGCTGCACTTAATCTCATTGCGGCCTGGCCTTTTTATACCAGTTTGCTGTAATGCTAGGAGAACCTTCAACTTTAAAGAATGGCTCTTCAGCCCTCCCCGGTTGGAGGAGAGGAAATCAGTTAATTGCAGCCTGTCAGAGCTGTTTTAGGTGACTTTGTACTTCTTCCATTTAAGATCAACATGAACCTTAGACATTTCAGGCTGGAAATCTGAATAGCAACAGAAAAGCCTGCGTTTCACTAATGCCAGGAATGACTCATCTCGTGAGAATGGTATTGTATTGCTAATACAATACAGAGAGAAGGAAAAGACTGTGGTATCTGCCTTTCTTTGTATTTCTGACCTTGAGGAGAATTATAACTTGTTTGTTGCAGAAGTTGAGCATCTAATGTGCTGATGCACCTGTTAGTTGTAATATGTTAAATGGCAAAGCACTTGCAGTTTCCCATGATTGCTTTGTGGGTAAAATATTTTGTGCAATCTTGTGAACTGATTTTTTTTTAAAGACTGTATTCATTTGTATTTCTTGTCTCTCATTTCTCAAAACTATGCTTTCTCATTCTGTTTCAACACCCTGGTCTCATCATTAACATCTTAGAATCTGCTTGGCTTTTTATTTTCAAGGTAACATTATTATGATCTGTTTTTAATGCAGAGACCATGAACCAGGCGACTCCTGCTAGGAAGCTGGAAGAGGTTCTTCATCTAGCAGAGCTCTGCGTAGAAGTCCTACAGCAGAATGAAGAGCATCATGCAGAGGTGATGGCTTGTTTTAACTGTCACATAAAGCGTCGCATAATGCTTCACCATAGTGGGAGCAGCACTGAAGAAGTGGCTTTTGATACACATCTGGCCATTTATCTACAGAAAACTGAGAACGTGTGTGCATTTCCTGGAAATATAGCTCCTATATGTTGCAAAGGAATTGTATGTGTATATAATTTAGTATCTGTTCCTGACAACTGTCTTCCTGTGAGGAACGGGGGAGAACTTATGGGATCTGCCTAAGGTGTACAACTAGTAAGAGGCAGAGCTGGAACACGAACCCCCATTTTGTGATGCCAGATCACTTGCTTTTCCCCCGTGCCCCGATTGCTTTAGTTTCTAAATGTAAGTTAATCCATGTGCAAAAGGGAAAGTAGTGATAAACTATAGGACACCAAAATTGAATAGAAGACGTTCAGAGCTGTATGATTGATAACTCCGGTCTTTCACTTTTACCGTCAAACTTTTCTTTAAATTTTCACTAAACCTTCATTTTTAAGAGATTTTTTAAAGTTCTAGTACTAATTATATACTGACATTCACTAAAAATATAGAATGGTATTTCATCAGGCAAACTGCTTATTCTGAGACTTAAAAGTGTCATTCTTTCTAATAGCCATGAGTTTATTTTAAAAAACGAGTTTTCTGACTGAATTAGGTAGGGAAAATGTGTAGGATTAAATAAATGTAATAAATTTCAGTGCCCTAACAGTGCTTTTATTCTTGAGGAAGCACATGAAATGAGTAAGTATGAAAAAGACCAGGTACAGAAGAATTTATAGTTTATATCTAATGAAGCCTTGTTCTCAAAAATATAAGAAACTACAGGAAGTACGTTTTAAGCAAATTCTCAGAAAAGAATATTCATGAAACCTTGCTATAGATAGCTAAGATTTATTGTATCTGGTTATAAATATGATCATTCAAAACATCTGCTTTTAGCTCACACTATGGAATCTAGCTTTTACCTTGCATCTGTCATGTGTGAACTTGTTATGGATATTTTATTTTAAACTGAAGAAACAGCTGCTTCAGTAATTTGAAGTGAATTCCCAGGAGGAGCTTTTCTAGGCTAATACTACCGCTATGTTACAATGAAAATGATTATATGATAAAATGTATGTATGTGTTGCCTTTTGTTGAAAGGCATTATCATCAGAGTATTAGACCTTTCTGAATTAAAAAAAAATTCTGATTGGGTATCCAATTTCATCTAAACAGTACATCTAATATTCCTATACATTTCACAAAAATTACATTTAATTTTCCTGCACTAATAAGGGAAATAATAACTCTCCTGTCTTTTAAATGTAATTAGCATTATATACTCCCTGCAACCACTACATGCTTGTTAAAGTACAGTGTATCCAAACACAATTAAAATGCAAATATTACTTAGTTTCTAACCCACAAAAATACAGTTGACTTTTTTGAACAGAGGTAATCAAAACTCATAAATGTAACTCAACTATATGCCAAAATATAGAAGTGTTATGAGGACCTCTTTTTAAAATGCTTTGTAACACTATGACACGTCTTCATTCCACAATGCTTCCAAACTCTTGGGATTCTTCAGGGAAGAGAGGTGAGTAAAATTGTTTTCACCATTTTTCTAGCATGGAATAACTCTTTTATGTGAAGATAAGATAGAACACACTCTGGTTACACTTTTAAAGCCACCTTAGTCCCTCTCCTTGGAATTAAAGACTGTATTTCTTTAAATGGGCAACTCTTTGTTGTACTGTTTCCGTGAATGTGTCTTATTAGTAATGCATAATTATTGCTGGCCATCTAAGTACAGGCTAGCTGAGAGGATTTTGCCATTTTGGTTTTGGTTTTATCTTTTAGTGGTTTTTTTTTGGCCTTTTTCTTTTTTTAACCAGGAGATCCAGCTTTTCCTTTGAACAATATTGGGGGGTGAATTGATCTGATTCCAAAGTCATTTCCACAGTGAATTGATGGACTGCATTGTACACTGATCTTGATTTTGCTGAATGTCCAGGCTAGACTCTACTGCACAAAAGAGGACCCGGCCCGGCTCCCTTGGTGAAGGTTAATGCGTCTGCCTCAGAGACCTTCAAGTGGCCGTGTGTCAGCTCCTCTCATTTCCCTCTCCTTTCCTCCACAGAGGCGGTTCACTTCACAAGGCCAAGAGGTTGTTTCTGTCCTTCAGCAATTTCTCAGTTAAGCAGGTTTCACGTCCTTCAGATCTTTGACAGTAACTTACTCATAACACAGTCCTCCCTTCTCTCTGAAGGCCTCTCCACCTCTCCCCTCAGGCTTTTCTTCCGATTTTCTGTGTTTTCTTTTGAGAAAGACAGTTTACACTCCTTTCCAGAAAATCTTGAAGGACGTCTTCCACATTCCCGTGATGAGACTGTGTCTGACCAGAAATTTAGACAAACTGATCCGACAACTGTCCATCCAAGGCCACTCACTCACTCTGACAAAGGCGGCAAGTCCCAGATGCCGACCAGAAAGCCTTAGACTCTCACCAGCCCACTTGCTCCACACACACACGCAGCACTTTCCTGCTAAGAAAACTTGCCAGGTGCACAGCTGGTCAGTGACGGGGTGAAGACGCAGGCCAACTCCAGACTCCACACTTTCCAGGGAACCACATTGTTGTTTCTTGGTTTCAGTAGAATGGCAGGTATGGGTGCCTTGTCCTAGTTTTGCTGGCAGGTTTGGCACTTAGCATCGTAGCAGGGATATAAACACAGAGAGGAGGAGGATGGTGCAAGCCTGGAGATGTCCCTTCTGTTCTGTCAGGCTCTTCTCCTGGCATATCTTGGGACTCTGCTATGGGGATGGAGGGCTGGAAATACCCCTCAGTGAAGGGGCAGAGAGAGAGGCAACATGATCGATACGAGCACAGCTCAGGTTGTTACTTTGTGATTTATTGTTGCAGCAGAATCTTAATTGAGGGTCCCTGAGATATTTTAAATATGATATTGTCCACCATGTCAGTGACACTGTAGGCCAGGGGAATGTCTGGCGGTAATTCGGTATTTGCAACTTAGCTCTCGGTTCACTGTAAATGGTTGTTGCATCCTGCGCTCCAGCTGGCCGGGTCCCAGGCTGCTCCAGCAGCAGAGTCAGGGCAGGGAGAGGAGTTCAGTACGGACACACGTATTTGTGCATGTGGTCATTCACATGAACATCGGTGTCTGGACCAGTTTATGCGTCTGGATGGATTCTAACATAGAATGGATGTTTGATTTTAAAATTTTTTTCCATTGTTTTTACTTCCTCATATCCTTATTCCTCTCTACTACCATGCATATCTAAGGACCATCTTAAAGTGTAGTTATACAAAACTTGATCATAGACAAGATCTGTTTACTACCTACTACTAACTAAATTGCACTCATCTCAACAGTTGAGTTCATCTTATTTGCCTAGTATTTATATCTGGATAGCCAGTGAGATAAATCGACATTTTCTTTTTTAGGATGGATTTAGGGTTAGATTAGCCTGTGGTCCAGCAAATGTTCCTCTTTTTGGAAGAAGATGACCAGTAAGTGGCTTTCATACAACTAAGCTACAGAGGCAGAATTCAATTTGCAGCAGTGACTCTCAAATGAAACTGCATCGGCAAAAATATCCTATCAAAAATGTTTGTTAGTCACTCACTGACTTATAAATGTATAATATTAAGAGTAGCACTTTACCCCAAGATGTTTTGAAGCATTTTCAGTTCTTCATCTCACTTGGTTATTTCAATATTTATATTCATCTATGAACACAATTAGGGAAAGATTTTCGTGAATCAGGAGTGCAGAAAGCTTATGATTCGTTTGGCAGTAGTTTAGGTGTCACCAGTTTAGTTTAGTCCATTCTGCTGGCTCCTCAAAAGTACTTAAATATTTCTAGAATATGACCCCTTAGCATTATGTTGCTCTGTGTGTATGTTGGGGGTTGTGGTGATACCCTAGACACTGGGTATCCTAGACACCAGGGCTTTTAGGATCATCTACAAAATACAGGATCATCTACAAAATACAGGATCTACAAAATACAGGATTGCAAGCTGATCTTTTCTTGGGGGGGATGAAAGCACGTAATACATTACAAAATCAGACACTCTATTTTTGCTCATTTATGCAGCCATATTTTTTGTGGTATTTTAAATTATGAAATGTTTACTATATTTTGAGGGTAAAAGTAATCAAAAGCCTAAAACCTCAAAGAAATTCGAAGAGATATAAAGAAATCAGACCGTTAAAAGATGCTCCGGCAAGAAAAAAATCAGAGGACATTAACATTGGTCTGATCTGCAAAACTAGACCGACAGACAGACAGGCCCTGTGCCATGTATAGTTAATTAAGAAGAGGCTGTATGTGTAAGAGCTTGGTCTCTACACTCCAGCTGACCTGGATTCAAATTATTGCTCTGTTACCAACCAACTTTAGGCAAGTCCTTTAATCTCTGAGTTTGCTAACCTATAAGATAAGGATAATTATACCATCTACCTGAAAGGAATAAGTAAGATAATGTATAAAAAGCCTTTCGAATAGTACAGTAAACCCCCTACATATGAACCTTCAAGTTGCCAACTTTCAAAGATGCGAACATACTTTCTCACGTCCAATCACTTAAGTTAGTTCACCCATCTGGTGTACATTGTCACGTGCGTGCATCCTCTACAGGTGGTTGTGCTTTTGTGTACTTTACACAACTGTATAGAGTGCAGTAGGACAGTATCTTTATTTCAAGCTAGATCTACAAGAGGACAACTTCACCGAACTCCTTGCTGTGCAGCCCGAGGAGCTTACTAATAAAGACCTGATGGAATTGGAGGCCCAGAGAAAGGACGAAGAGAGACAAGAGGAAGAAGAAGTAACTGAAGAACTAAGAGATTCACGATGCAGGAAGTGGCAAGGGGATTTTCTTTATCTGAGGAGGCACTGTTAGTTTTTGAGGCACAGGATCCGAACATAGAACAGTGCACGAAGGTTGCAGCTGCCGTTCAGAATGCAATCCAGTGCTACCGTGTCATCTATGACGAGAAAAAAAGAGCTCCAACCAGACATCACTGGATCGTTTTTTTCAAGAGGGTAGATAGAATTGGATCCAGCAAGGAACCAGAACCTGTGCCATCAGCGTCAGGCGTGAGTGAAATTGCAGCTTGCCCTCCATCTCCTATTGCTGACAGTCCTCCGCCTCTACCATCTCCCACCTCCTCTCCCTCCTCCAGTCACTAACTCTGCTTGCCTGTTCACTCGATGCCAGCCCCTGGATGCCAGCTGTTGTACTGTACCACTGTACTTTTCAAGATACTATACTGTAAGATTAAAAATGTTTATTTTTGTTTGTTTTTTATGTATTTGTGTGAAAAGTATTATAAACCTATTACAGTACAGTACTATATAGCTGATTGTGTTAGTTGGGTACCTAGGCTAACTTTGTTGGACTTAGCAAACAAATTGGACTTAACGAACGCACTCTTGCAACAGAACTCATTTGTATGTAGGGGACTTACTGTACTTGGCACAGAGAAACTATTCCTTTCATGTTGGATATCATTCTTTTTAAAACATCTAAAGTCACAATATAAGATTTGTGTGAATTTTGACTCATTTTTATGTTACTGATAATGATTCATTTTTTTACTTTTGTGCAGCAAGAGATTTTCATATTCCTTGACTTTTCCAAACAGCCCTGGAGGAGGCTGGTACAAGTATCGTTATTAGCAATTTGCAGATGAGGAAATGGAAATCCACCCAGGGAGCTGACTTGCCCATCGTCACTTAAATCTCACCAAGTTCAAAAGCTCAGTACCCTGCTTCCAGTTTCAGGGATAGTCTTACCTGCCACTATTTTCAACTACTCTGAGTAAACAGACACGGCTTTCAAAGTATTGTCAGCCTGCGACAAATATTGTTCTCACTGTACAAGATTTATTTCCTGTTAGAACTTTGATAGAAATCGTATGGCTAAAGGATTACCATCAAGTTTTGTTTTGTATTTCCTTCTTGATCAAGTTAAACATTGCCTTCTGCCTGTGCTGTCTCATTTACACTAATTAGTGGCTTAGCTTTAGAGCCAAGATAACTCTAACCTAGATAATCGTGACTTTTGATTGGTGCCCTACAGATGGGTGTGTTGCTGAGAAGGGTTTTCTCCTCCCTGCTGGAGCCCCTCATGCCGTGGAGCCTCAGCCACTCCCAGGAAGTGGCGCTCTAGGACGGAAATTATATAGCCTCTCCTCTTACCACCAACCCGGGGTGCGAGGACTGCCACCCAGAGGGATGGCAAAAAGCAGGAGGGGACAGGTGGGAGAACTGACCCTGTGTTCTCAAGGTAACAGCCTGCAACACTTGCTTTTCGTTTTCAAGGACAGTGGTTCCTTAAAGCTTTCTCTGGTCATCATTAGAACAGTAAGCATTCGTCACAGATTGGCTTATGTTCATTAGGAATAACATCATCATCAGAGATACAATTTGAAACATAAATATATACTTCTGCAAAACATAATGAAATTTTCCAGTTGATAGCAAAGTCTCGCCGACCTGAAGCTGTTTTTTTTAAAGAAAATTATCTTCCATCGTGTTCCATTCCCCACTGCGACTCTGTCTTCC